GTTCCATAGTTTATACGTCCTGCATAAAGTACTTTCTTTTGTCAGCACCAAATCTTCAAATATTCCCCTTCATTGAATGCCCCACATTCTAAGAATATGAGAGAGGGAGGGGGGAAATTCCCTCTGCTCCCCCCCCCATTCATGACTTTTACTCTGTTTCCCTAAACTAAAAAAACTCCAAACCTTGCAACCTTTCTTCGTTGGTGAGTCACTCTGATCCCTTGATCAGTTTGGTTGTCCTTTCCTGAACCTACTTCAGCTCTGTGGTACATACAATATACAGTGGTACCTCGGGTTAAGTACTTAATTCATTCCGGAGGTCCTTTCTTAACCTGAAACTGTTCTTAACCTGAAGCACCACTTTAGCTAATGGGGCCTCCTGATGCCGCCGCGCTGCCGGAGCCCAATTTCTGTTCTTATCCTGAAGCAAAGTTCTTAACCTGAAGCACTATTTCTGGGTTAGCGGAGTCTGTAACCTGAAGCATATGTAACCTGAGGTGTATGTAACCCGAGGTACCACTGTATATATATATATGCCTCTAATCAATGAGGCTATGTAGGTTTCAGGCTACATTGAAAAATAAGAAGCTTGCAAAAACTGTTTCAGCAAAGAAATACCCCCGTGGGACTTGCATAAGCGTACAGCCTGTTCCTCAAGCACCCTTCAATTCCCAGAAAGAATTCCGGCCCCCCTTAACTTTGTGTCGTCTTCCCTTTCAGCATTTCTCTTTAATTGGCTGGGATTAGCTACTACAAAATTAAGACAGAAAACCGGGGCTTAGCGTTTGTCATGGTGGATTGCAGATCCTCAGTTCCGGCATTTCCCTAGACATCCGCTTCTCGCCTTAAAAGATGGGCGCTTAGCACAACTTGAGCTGCCACTCATTCCTAAGGCACGTTGACTCCAGGGAGGAGAAGAGACAGCCGATTGCTATGCCTGCTCCCTGCCTATTATTAAATCCCTTCTTAACAAGAGGGTGTGAAGAATTAGTCAGGAATAACGGAGGGAAGGGGGGGGGGAGAGATTTCAATCCAAAGCTATTAGAATCTTGTCAGACGCACCACTATAGCAGTTATCATGACTCATGGGCTCTGTTCTTTATAAAAATATTCCTAAGTCTTCGGGATATATATTTGAATTTCTAAGCGAACGCCTTCTCACATAACAAGCAGCCTGCACCTCGAGGCTGCTGGATGAGGCCACTCTCATAAGCAGGACGAACTACCTAGCGCTGTAGCCCATTAGGGGGCCTTTTCAGCGGTGGCCCCCACAGCTCCAGAATCCTTTTTCCCACAAAAGCACCACTGTTTTCTTTTAGCAAACAGGCAGGGATTGCCCCACTTCCAACAGGCTACCAGTGACTGATGTCATTTATGAATAATTTCGACACAGCTGTGTATTATGAATTACTCATTGTGAATTGTATTTGTTTGTTTCTTGGATCGAAACACCAACGTTCCACCAATTAAAAGAGGGGTGCGTGTTTTTCAGTGCCACGCTCCCGTGCGAGCCAGATGGAGCTTCCCTGTCTAAATTCCCTGTCCCTGTTACAGACAGCAGCTCCCTCAGCAAGTGCCGGACTGCCACCTCCATTTTCCCCTCTTCCCCGCCGTCAAGCTCATTTTCATCGACTGCTTCTCTTCCTCAGACAGAGGAGGAGCCTCTGGACCTAGCGGGGGCGGCCTGGCTTGCACAACTAGCATCTTCCCTTCCTCCACCTCCATAGGCTCTGACTCAGCCACCTTCTTTTGCATGAAAGGTCACATTTTTCTGTGCTGAGCTCTCGCGGAGCCAGCTGACTCACGTGACAGCACCAAAAACGCGGGAATCCGAAGCCACAATGGCTTCCGTAATTCCAGGATGTCCCAATCGCATCGGGACAGTTGATGGCTATGCTCTCTTAAGCTCTGTTCCTGCATCACCTGAAACCAGGCAGGTGAAGAATCAAGTCTCCTCCCTGTCACCTGAGTCCTTCATCTCTGAGCTGCTGTGAAAACTTACAGGCAGCAGTCCAGAGCAAGAAGGGCTTATCTCACTTTCATTGTGTGAACGAATCAAGTTCCTGTTTTCCTCTGCCTCTTCCTCCCCCTCTGCAGATTCCTCCCTGCCGGACATGTCTCTGACATTTGCTCTCCTACTTTCTTTCTTTTTTTGTTAAATCGTTTTTATTAATTTTCCAATAAAAAACATCCAATTAACATATCAAATCATAATCCAATAAAAAAACTAAAATGAAAAAGACCAAGTTATCTTCCAAATTGTAGTTATTAATTTTTGGGTTCCTGGGCCCCATGGGAATTTGAGAGTGTGCTATGGACACTCAAAAAATTTAACTCTCCTATTTTCAACGCCTGCCGGGTTCTGGGAGGCGGGGTCTGGAATGCTTTCTAAAGACACTGTGTCCGTCAGCTGTCCCCCCTCTGGTTTCTTCTTCCTCCTCTCCCATTATTTCCCAGCTTTCCTCCTCATTTGCCTCTGAGCTGTGACCGTTCTCAAGCCCCTGTTGTAATTCTGAACTGTCTTCTTCTTCTCTGGAAAGATCAGGCTGGAGAGGTGGCCTCCACCACTCTTCCTCTGCCCAATCCCTAGCATCACCACACTTTTAACATTTGGGAAAAGGATACTGGTACTGAATACTCTTGAGTACCCCCAGGAAAAAAGCACTGCCATGTCTGGCTGATTGGGACCTTTCCTCCGATCCAACAAAACAACTCCATTGGCGCCATCCCAAAACCACGGAAATGCCACGCAGGCCAAGAACAGCCAGCTAGATCCTCAAGTTCTTTATTTCCACCCCTTCCTGGATCTCTCTGGCTGCGTCCCCAGCATTGGCTCCAGATAGCCTGGTAGGAACAAACATCCTGCCGGTTTGCTTCCTCCTGCAAGAGAAGGAGCAACGCCAGCAGGAAGTCCTGTATCCCCCACCAATGGGCAGAACATTGCAATCAGAAAATGTCATGGAACATATGAGGTCCAAGGGGGGGAGGCCGCATTTGAGGATGGGGGGCGGGGAGCCAAACAGGCCCATCGTTTCTGTTATATAGCCATCCTAATTAATGTCATTGCTATTTAAAAACAGCGGCGTAAAGTGGAAAACACCACCCATATCCCATAAATGATAGAATTGCAAAATTGTAGGAGACGCCAAGGGTCCTCTAGTCCAAACTCCCTGCAATGCAGAAATCTCAGCTGAAGCATCCCTGACAGATGGCCACCCAACCACTGCTTGAAAACCTCCAAGGAAGGAGAGCCCACCGCCTCCCAAGGGAGACCGTTCCACTGTTGAACAGCTCTTACTGTCAGGAAGTTTTCCCATATGTTTGGTCGTACAATTCTGAAGTGCGGTCGGGGAACGCAATGAATGAGAATGACTTTATTCTCGGTCTGGGCACCTCGTCTTTGATAGCTGTGAGTCCTGAATTGCAGGGGGATGAGCCTTGGGGTCCCTTCCAACTCTGCATTTTGGCAATTGATGTCGGGCAGGGCTTAACGCTGCCATATATCGCTTGCATGCTAAACCCCGGAGAGCCGACGGATGAAACTGGCTCCACCGGAAAGCATATTGCTGGCGTTGGGAGTCTTGCAATAGCCCAATCTGCAGAGGGAGACCCAGCAGAGGCTTAGGGCAAATTGAGTGCTTCCTCATGAGTCCAGTGTGGTATAGTGGTTAAGAGCGGAGGACTCGTAATCTGGTGAACCGGGTTCGCTTCCCCGCTCCTCCACATGCAACTGCTGGGTGACCTTGAGCTAGTCACATTTCTCTGAAGTCTCTCAGCCCCACTCACCTCACAGAGTGTTTGTTGTGGGGGAGGAAGGGAAAGGAGATGGTTAGCCACTCTGAGACTCCTTAAGGGGAGTGAAAGGCGGGCTATCAAGTCCAAACTCTTCTTCTTCTTCTTCTTCTTCTTCTTCTTCTTCTTCCTCTTCTTCTTCCTCTTCTTCTTCTCCAGTAGAAGCACCATAGGAGAGGCTGGCCTGATCCTGAGGAAGAATGGAAGCAGCTCAGAGAACTGTGGAAGCTGGACACAGCCATCAAGGCCAATAGCCATCGATAGCCTTGTTCTCCTTTAATTTGTCATTCAAGCCCATCTAACTTGGTGGCTGTCACTGCCATCTGGGGAAACAAGTCTCATAGGTCAGCGGTATGCTGATTTTCTTTTCTCTGTCCTGAAATCTTCCAACATCCAGCTTCCTTGGTAGTCCTCATGTTCTAGCGTTATGAGAGTAGGGGATGTGGGTGGCGCTGTGGTCTAAACCACTGAGCCTCTTGGGTTGGCGGTTCAAATCCCCACAATGGAGTGAGCTCCCGTTGTTCAGTCCCAGCTCCTGCCAACCTAGCAGTTCGAAAGCATGCCAGTGCAAGTAGATAAATAGGTACTGCTGTGGCAGGAAGGTAAACAGCATTTCCATGCGCTCTGGTTTCCATCACGGTGTTCTGTTGCACCAGAAGTGGTTTAGTCATGCTGGCCACATGACCCAGAAAGCTGTCTGTGGACAAACACCAGCTCCCTCAGCCTGAAAGCGAGATGAGCGCCGCAACCCCCTGGTCGCCTTTGACTGGACTTAACCATCCAGGGGTCCTTTGTTGTTGTTGATGTTGTTTAGTCGTTTAGTCGTGTCCGACTCTTCGTGACCCCCTGGACCAGAGCACGCCAGGCACTCCTGTCTTCCACTGCCTTCCACAGTTTGGTCAAACTCATGCTGGTAGCTTCGAGAACACTGTCGAACCATCTCGTCCTCTGTCGTCCCCTTCTGCTTGTGCCCTCCATCTTTCCCAACATCAGGGTCTTTTCCAGACAGTCTTCTCTTTTCAAGGGGTCCTTTACCTTTACCTAAGTGTTATGAGAGAGGGGAAAAATATTTATCTATGCCAGACATAGTTATATACACTTCTTCTTTTAAAAAAGCAACAACACTTTTATTAAAGATAGCTTCATTCACTTCTATCATGTGGCCACTTACTTGCCTTTTCTCAAAAGCAAAAAGTTCCCAATGCCAAACTGGGGTAGCTCAGTTGGTAGTGTGAGAATCTTAATCTCAGGGTCATGGGTTTGAGAGCCCCATTTTGAGCAAAAAATTCCTGCATTGCAGAGGGTTGGTGGAGATGATCCTCGTGGTCCATAGAATGCTATGATTCTATGGGTCTATGAAATGTTGCAATCTTTCTTCTTAGGGGAGAGAGTCCATTGGATTAAAGGCAGTCACCTGCCTTTACCTCTGACCATTGGGCATGCTGGCTGGGACCCATGGCAGTTGTCCAGCCACATCCAGACAGTCAGAAGTCTCCCATTCCTGCCATATCGCATTGACAAGGAAAAAAGCAGAGGGAGCAGATGGGGAAAAATCACTCTGCTGAAAAGCCACTTGGTTTCCATGCCAGATTTTTTTAAAAAATCACCATGAGCCCCTCTGGGGGTCCCTATTTGCTTTCTTTTTGGAGGGTCATGTTTGCTCTTCAAGCTGCTGTGCGGCGTTTTGTTTTCAAAGGCGTTGTTTGCAACACAAATAGCAGAGCTAGATCCAGCACACACCGTCCCCCAAATAATGCCTGGGACTGTCATGGTTTGCTTAAGAATGCTGGGAACTGTAGTTTGGTGGGGATGAAAACATAGTTCCCAGCTGGTGGGGAGGAAACCATGTGCTTCCAATGTGTGTTGGGTGGGCTTTAGAAGTTAGTGTGGGTCTGCTGTGAGCAATTTATTTAAAAACCGGGGCTATTGGGTGGGGTAAGAATACAGGCTTTTTGATATGAGGCCAGAACTCAGGGATGAACCACATGTACCGTGGGTCCAGTTTCAACCCCACACATCTGAGGTAGCTCAGTTGGGTGCTGAGAATGCCAAGGTTGCAAGTTTGATCCCCGTACAGGGCAGCTGCATGTTCCTGCATTGCTGGGGGTTGAGCTAGATGGCCGTCAGGGTCCCTTCCAACTCTGCAATTCTGTGGTTCCATCTCCAGGTATGTCTGATCCTTGTACAGTGGTACCTCGGGTTAAGTACTTAATTCGTACCAGAGGTCTGTTCTTAACCTGAAACTGTTCTTAACCTGAAGCACCACTTTAGCTAATGGGGCCTCCTGCTGCTGCCACGCGGCCAGAGCCTGATTTCTGTTCTCATCCTGAAGCAAAGTTCTTAACCTGAAGCACTATTTCTGGGTTAGCGGAGCCTTTAACCTGAAGCATATGTAACCTGAAGCTTATGTAACCTGAGGTACCATTGTAACTGGAGAGGGAACGGCCATACGTAGCTCAGTGAACAGAGCACAGATGGGTCTGGGCTCTGACTCAGTATCATAAGTCAGTTTCTACGTTTCCATAGCTAGTAAGGAAACTTGTCATGTGGCAGTGATAATCCATGTCTTAGCCCATAATTTGGGACTTTACTGAGACTTCTTGTTTATGACATATTGCGTTTCGTGTCATCTATATTTAGAGGGCTGCATAGCAGAATGATTTTTTTTCCCCTGCCCTAGTTTTAATATAAATTATTACACTTGAATCAGCTTCTGACCTAGATCTTGAGGAACAGGAGATTTCGTAGCTGGGATCCAGAGAGGTTCCCCCTGCATAGTGACAGCATCCATTCTCCTAGGGGGCCCTGGCACAGCTAATGAAGAAAGGAAAAGGCTGTGCCGAGGAAGAGGGCTGGAGCTCAGGGCCAGAGCATCTTCCTTGCATGTAGACAATTCAGTCCTGGGAATCTCCAGGTTTGGCCTGGCAATGTCCTCTGCCTGAAACCCTGGAGAGAGCTGCTGCCAGGCAATACTGAACCAGGTAGCCTGATACTGCCTCATTTGCGGGACACTTTAGAACAGGCATAGGCAAACTCGGCCCTCCAGATGTTTTGGGACTACAACTCCCATCATCCCTAGCTAACAGGACCAGTGGTCAGGGATGATGGGAATTGTAGTACCAAAACTACAATTCTAAAGTGTCCGCAAATGAGGCAGTGTCATCCAGCTCCTGCCAGGCTGAAGCTTGCAAGCTGCATGTATAGTCTCTTTAACATATATAAAACATTAAAGGCACTCTCTCCCTCCTGGAGATTCAACACACACACACCTCGCCCTGGCTGCCACTGGGAGGTTACCAGTTAACTCGCAGACTTCAGGTAAGCCCCAGAGGTCTGGTAACCCTACCAAGTGCACTGATCTTGAGTTCTTGATAGTTGGCATCCCCGGGTCCCTGCACTTCTGTTAAACAGCAAAGGAAGACACCACAAGGTCATTCCTTCCATGGGGCTTTTTCAGATGAAGGCAGATGGGCAGCCAGGGAGGCTGCACAGCAATGGGAAATGCTTAATGAGAAGAAAAACATACACAACACTCTTAGCCACGCCATCATGATAAGGTATATTGAGGAGGGACCATAGTAGGAGCTCCAGACATTTGCAAGTACAGAAAATTCTGTGTTTGTGTGATAGATAGAAAGGAAGGAAGGAAGGAAGGAAGGAAGGAAGGAAGGAAGGAAGGAAGGAAGGAAGGAAAATTTAAATGTATATTCTGAAGGAACCCAGAGCATCAAACCAACAAGTGATAAAACCAGTGTTTCTTTCTGGGGGGACTCAGGGGTACGCATACCCCTAAAACATTTTGTGAATCTTTGTACTTTTATCCATTTACTGTATTTATTTTTCCTGATTTGAACTATAAAATGGTGATTTTCTTGAGCCAAAATGAGAGTACCCATAAACAATTTTTTAGGGGGTGGGAAAGCACTGGATAAAACAACCAAAATGTCTAAAAACAAATCCAACACAGATGCAGATGGGGAACAATCTCTACAGTCGTACCTTGAAAGTCAAACGGAATCCATTCCAGAAGTCCGTTCAGCTTCCAAAACATTTGGAAACCAAGGCACAGCTTCTGATTGGCTGCAGGAAGTTCCTGCAGCCAATCGGAAGCCGTGGAAGCCCCATCGGATGCTCAGGTTCCAAAGAACGTTCGCAAACCAGAACACTCACTTCCAGGTTTGTGGCATTCGGGAGCTGAAAGGTTCGACTTGCAAGGCGTTCAGGATCCAAGGTATGACTGTAGTTTAAAAGCCTTGTTGGAAGAGGAAGGTCTTCAGGAGGCACTCAAAAACAAAACAATGATAGAGATGAAACGTGTGTAATATGCCATGGGAGGGAATTTGAAAAGCCCAATTCCTATATTGTGCAGAACGAACCTCCTGATAAGGAGGCCTTCACCTACAGTGAAGTGATTGAATGGGCACATAATGAGTGAAGTGTACATTTGGGGGGGGCAGGTGTTAGTATCTTTATGCCAAGTTAGGTAAAGGTAAAGGTACCCCTGCCCGTACGGGCCAGTCTTGACAGACTCTAGGGTTGTGCACTCATCTCACTCTAGAGGCCGGGAGCCAGCGCTGTCCGCAGACACTTCCAGGTCACGTGGCCAGCGTGACGAAGCTGCTCCGGCGAACCGGCACACGGAACGCCATTTACCTTCCCGCTATAAAGCGGTACCTATTTATCTACTTGCACTTAAGGGTGCTTTCGAACTGCTAGGTGGGCAGGAGCTGGGACTGAACGACGGGAGCTCACCCCGCCGCGGGGATTCGAACCGCCGACCATGCGATCGGCAAGTCCTAGGCGCTGAGGTTTTACCCACAGCGCCACCCACGTCCCGATTATGCCAAGTTATGACTCCATAATTCAGTTGCATCCGTTCAGGCAGGCTCTTTCAGACAAAAGTTGGTGCCGCAATAAATCCATTCTTTCTTTTAATTAAAACTTGCAAACTATGACAAAAGAGGGAAATTTTTCTTTACAAAGGCAATAAAACAACCCCACCACCAAAAACACTAAAAACATACATAACGTAATATCCAGAAGACAATTACCATATTTTCCATGCAAGTAGACACACAGACTTTCCAAAAAAATGAAAGAATTAAGAGTTAGCATCCTTGTTTCCCTATGCTTTTCAGTTACAGTCAAACCTCAGTTGTCAAACATAATCATTCTGGAAGCCCGTTCAGCTTCCGAAATATTCGACAACCGAGACATGGCTTCTGATTGGTTGCAAGAGCTTCCTGCACTCAAGCACAAGCCATGCTGGGCATTTGGCTTCCAGAAAACATTTGAAAACCGGAGCATTTACTTCCAGGTTTTCGGCGTTCTGGAGTCTAAACGTTCAAAAACAGAGCCATTCGGGAACCAAGGTTTGACTGTACTAATAGTCCAACCGAAATATAAAGAGTACAGTGGTACCTCAGGTTACATACGCTTCAGGTTACATACACTTCAGGTTACAGACTCCACTAACCCTGAAATAGTACCTCGGGTTAAGAACGTTACCTCAGGATGAGAACAGAAATTGTGCTCCGGCGGCGCCACGGCGGCAGCAGGAGGCCCCATTAGCTAAAGTGGTGCTTCAGCTTAAGAACAGTTTCAGGTTAAGAACGGACCTCCGGAACAAATTAAGTACTTAACCCGAGGTACCACTGTATACGCCTACCTAAATGTACTTTCATTTACCTTGGAGTAAACAAGAAGGACCATATACCCACTGGCTTCTTCTTTTGCCCATAAAATCAAGTCGTGGCACAAAAAGAAATAATCATCAGTCTCTGGAGGCAGGTCCTCTAGCCGCTCTCAGCTTGTGGGAAATCTTTTTCTAGAAGAGCAATTTGCCAGACTTTTGAATGCCAGAAACCTGATTTAAATGCCTTCGAGAAGTTGGCCACTGTTGCTGTGGCCGATAAATCTATTAGACCTTGACATGCCACAGCAGGGGCTCTTTCAGTTTGTGTTAGATTCAACCGCGAAAACACAGCGGGCCGGACAGATGGGTAACTGTCCACTTTGCGAGCTCCTTCTAGAACCCAAGTTCCCCTGTTCTATGAATATTCCACTGCCGGCACCTGTTCCCTGGGCAGGCGTGCGGCAGAAAGCATGTCTCCTCTCCTCGCCCCCTTTCCTCACATTCATTATGGATGAGGATGGAACGGATTAAACAGCCAAGTCCTGCTTACGAAAGGATCTCTGCTTCTGCCCTTGCTGGGTGAGTGCAATGAACTTCACAGCAGGCCCCCAGCCACACAGATGTGAACGAGGACCATTACACTTCC